ACACACACACACACACACACACACACATCGTGATTGTAACTGATTCAGAAAGCATGATGAGGAAGATCAGAACAGGTATGCTTCGTGCAGAGTGGCGCGGGTGAGGAGTATTGTCTGGATTTTTTCACCGGGTCCGACGGTGTGTTGGGAAATGAACAGGCGGACAGACTGGCGGGCTCTGCACAACTTGGTGGAATACTGATACATGATAAGGCAGACGTGGTTAGTGCCTTCTGGGAGAGCGTGTACAGTTCGGAGGAGCAGATGGATCCCCACAGTCTGGTGAGATTTATGCGGGGGGGAGTGACGAGAGGTTCTGGCAGATGCTCGAGGCGCAGAGGAAAGGCAAGACGGACCTTTAACCATAATGCTACTGGCACCATTAGTATCGGAACTCTTCGCTGGCTGCTGAAGATCGGGACGGAGCGCTTATGGGAATGCCCCGAGTGATGTGATGTCGGTTCTTGAATCAAATCAAATCTGATTTATGCCACGATGGTTCACAAATGGGCTTGTTTTATTCATTTTGTTTTATTGTTTCATATAAAGATGTTCCTGACAGTTATAGCAGTCCTGCTCTGAGCCAATCCCCACAAACTACATACACCGTGTTTGAAAAATTATTCGAGCTGCTGGTAACCTATCCTGAAGCTTGTGAAACCTTGGCGGTAAGTCTATGGATAAGGACATTTCTGGCTTTTAAATGATGTCATGAACATTTGTTGATTCTGTTTATCTATACTTGCTACCTGCTTTTGGAAACCCAGGTTCAAACCTCGGCAAATATGTGGATTTTTATGTTTCTGTCTGGGCTGAAATAAAAATTGTAACCTGCACAGACCGTGTTGACTGCACCAGCCAATCGACCCTAAATCTTCAGGACAGGGACAAGACGAATTGGTGATTTTGCAGAAGGTACTGTGAGATAAGAAGTCGGTAGCATAATTAAAGCAGTCTGCATACCTGGACGACCGAGCGGAAAGCTTACGATTGGTTTACTGGACACATGTTGGACTTTGTTAGCAGGTGGCAGAGGGACACTGGCAGACAATTCGGACACGTTGGACTTTAAGGGATGAGAAATTCTTTTCCGCTAGACACCCGGACCAGCTCACCGAGACCAGTCCCCTACTTTGTTTCGTTGTGTCCAGAGCCAGCTCAAGGCCCTCTCAGCAACCTAGCCCAGGTGTTTAAATGTCCGTTTGCGTTCATTACCGCGCAAGCCTAGTTCTTTAATCACATTGTAGAGTAAAGTGGAAACGAGACCTCTTGCGCCTATTTCGACGGCGAAGACTCTTACTGTGTACGCTTCGTCCCTCCTCAGACCGGCTGCTAAGTCACAGTACTTCTCGAGCTTGTACATATGGCTTTCGTCCATTCGCGACTCATACGGGACGGTCAGCTTAATCAGGATGAGCTGCCGTTTCTCCACAGAGTAGAGAACTATGTCAGGTCGCAGGCCGGTCTTCCGGACTAACTCAGGGTTCTTTCATGGCCAGGCAGGTCAACCGCCAGTAACCAGTCCCTCGCAGAGTCTAGCATAGATGGAGCGTATGCGACGTTGTCGAGTCTACCTTTTTGAATCTGCCCAGCCTTGAGGAAGGGTATGGGGACGACGGTAGGACTGGCCCTCGCATTGGCCCTCATACTAGCCTGGTCCAGAATGACTGCCAACTCTTTTAGCACCTTGTTGTGGCGCCAGGTGTATCGGCCTTGACCTAGGGCTTTTCTGCATCAGCCAAATCCCGGTCAAAGGTTAAATCATTCCTATAACCTGTTCACTCAGCAACCACCTTCGTTTGCCTATTTCTCACTATTCAGAAATGATCCCTATATAGCACTATTCAGCTGTTCACTTCCGGTGAATGTAAAGTCGGGAGATGTGAACCAGCGTCATTGCACACGGTAAAAACCATAAGTGCCCTGCCACTATATGGGCAGCTGATAACAAATTGTCCTCCTGTGTCGCCGTACGCACGCAACTCTGTAGCTACAGCGATGTTCATCCATTTATCACTATCGATTGCGCTAATGCGGTTATTGATGGTTAAACATCGAATGCAGGTCGTGACTTCAGCGCCTACAAGAGCTGGAAATATGTCCCAGCTTAAGCCCAAATCATAGGGATCTTCTCCGGGGTCAAATGAAAGAGTGGAAAAAAGTATTGACCAGGAGATCACAGAAACAGCTAACTTGTGCCATTTAGAGTGTTTTGTGTATCCCATGGAGCGCTATACTGTTATATCTGATAGAATAATGATGATGATTCTGATCAGTTTAGTTATCTCAAAACATTTACTTGTTGGCATTTTTAAAAAAATGGTTGGACAGCCAAAAAGAGCAATCAAGAGGTTTTGAAAGAGGTGGGAGCTCAAAGACAATTAATCACAGACATCAGAAGGAGACAGTCATCATTTTTCGGCCATGCTATGAGAAGTGGGAAAATGGAACATGTTGTGACCACTGGAAAGATCTGTGGAAAGAGGGATAGAGGAAGACAATAAGAGAAGATTATTAAACAGAAGATTATTGTTGCATGGCGTGGAGGTGTGTCAGCACACGAACTAATACATGCTACAGGAGATCGCAGATTGTGGAGAGGCATGATCGCCCACGCCAGTCGGCAAGGCACCTGATAATGATGATGGAGGGGACACATCAGTATGGGAATGAGAATGAAGGAAGAAGTGACTGCAGAAAGGATGAGAACTGAGCGTCTGAGAAGAAACAGACTAAGCACAAATGTTCACAACAATGGTCCTGAAATCCCATGCTATAACTGTGGAAGACTTCTCAACTCGGACAGGTCTTGCTAGTCATACTCGCCATTACCATGGGCTTTGAGTCTCATGCCCCCTCAATATAACACTGTCGTCTGGGAAGAGGAAAGGGTACCAAGAAGTAAAGATACTTTGAAAGCCAAGGTACCATGACATACATACAATTAAGCTGAGGTGAATGAATGAGTTAAGTACCGACATCACAGTACTAAGAACATTCCCACAAGCGCCCCGACTCCATCTTAAACAGCCATCACAGAGTTCCTATTGTGATGATACCAGTAAAGGTATGATTTTCTTTTTGTCCATCTTATCTTTTCCCTGAGTGTTGAATGTCGGCCAAATACTCTGGTCGCTGCCCTCTACACCATTATCTTCAGACCGTGATGCATCAATTTATCACCTAACGGTGCATAACCTGCCAGTCTGCCTGTTAATTTACTAGAACACCTGCATGTCATGGACCTTATAACTTCGTCGTCTCCATGTGGGATGCAATTTTTGGTTATTTTGAAGCCCCTCCCTGGCTTTTACCGGAGGCCTTAAATATAGCTGGGCCTTAAAAAAGGGCCTAACGGCTGAACAGGGTTTCCAGGACCTCTCCATGGGTGATCCTGATCCGCATTATGGCACTTTGTGTCACTGGGTGTTTATCGCTTGTGTGATATCCTGGTGGGGTACAGCTTACCTACTAATCTACCTACCTGCATGTCATGGAGAAAATATCCAAAGGACGATAACTATCTGGGATCTCTGAAGTCATGCTTGCCACTCTGCACGGATCAAACTTGCCTCCACCTTGCTTAACATGTTTAGTAAGTGCAGCCGGTTCTGAAGCCAGCGGAAGGCTGCAGTTATTGCCTCCACCTCTATTCTCAAACAAGGTGTTGTGATATCTTATAATAGGCAATGTTGCACTAAGGGTCTCTATTCAATTTTGCTATGAACCCAGCATAGTTTTTGCCTTCTGTCTACACAAATGCATCTGTTTAGACGATCACACCACCTGCAGGGGAATTGGAATGAATCAGTTGTTGAAATTCTGATTCTGCAGCGCCAGCTGGTAAGACCCTTCACTGTCGACCCATTATGATTAGAACTTTGCACAAGTCTGATTGTTGCTCGGGCACTTTGGCTCACTGCTCTCCTCACTTAATATTAGTAAAGCAAGCACACATGTCTGAATTATGACTTCAGCTAACGCCACCCAAGACCTTCTTCTTTTCAGTCTGTGACCTAGGACTCACGGAAAAGGTGTTTCTTGTATGCGGCTTCTGAGATGTGAGACCGCTTGCCAGTAGATATGGCATATACAAAACTGGGGTATCTCTTGTGCATCCTTCAACAAAGTATTTGATAATGATGCTGATTCAGTACGATATCTGTCAATAAGTATCCAAACCTTTTACTAGGAAAGACACAATTACTTTCCTGGAATCTCCCACCCCCTCTGAAAGTAGTCTTCTGCCAGCGGGCCCATCTTGTTACAAACATTTCAAGGAGGCTAGATGTTTCTGATGTGGCTTCTTAAGAGTTTTGGCACCAAGCTGAAAACAACACCGGAAAAGGCCCGATTTGATATGCATCATACGAGCAGAGCTCATTAACTGCTCTCAGATTACTACGAGGTCCGACAATTGAAGGACAACTGGGAGAAAAATGTGCAGCCATCAAACAACTGGGAGAAAAATGTGCAGCCATCAAACAACTGGAAGAAAAATGTGCAGCCACCAAACAACTGGGAGAAAAATGTGCAGCCATCAAACAACTGGGAGAAAAATGTGCAGCCATCAAACAACTGGGAGAAAAATGTGCAGCCATCAAACAACTGGGAGAAAAATGTGCAGCCATCAAACAACTGGAAGAAAAATGTGCAGCCACCAAACAACTGGGAGAAAAATGTGCAGCCATCAAACAACTGGGAGAAAAATGTGCAGCCATCAAACAAACAAACACAAAAAAAAAAAACAATGTTAAATGAAACTAGTTTTTCAAACCTCAAGGTAGTAATAGCATTTTTCCTGACCTCGTAAGAGTTGCATTTTGAGCAGACCTCGTACAAAAGCCTAAGCATGATGCAAGTCTTGAGGGTACATCACTTGCTAGCAAACACATATAAAAACATAAGAAAAAAATATACATCTGCTTGGATTTACTTCTTCTATTGTGAGTTTATAATAAGTGAAACATTTTTAATTTCTTTCCTTACTGCATCTACAGGATTTTATGTCATCCAAGAAGTGTTTTACGAAGACTCAATGTGATGAGGGTGCCAAAGTCCTCAAATCAATTCATAATGCCCAGCTTCTTGTGCAGAAGACAGTTGCAGATCTGGATTTTGTGCGTATTCCAACAGAGAACATATCAAAGAACGTCATCACTACCAACCCACTGATCAGTGTCACTGATTTCATTGAGGTCAGTTGAATTATTCTATCTTAAACAGCGTACTTATGTGACCATTGTGCTCCATATGTTCTAATTAACCTGAAACCATCATGGAAATCACACACCCAACCATTCTCAACGACATTCTCAACATTATTTTCAACGACATTCTCTGTATCATTCTCAACATCGTTGTCGGCAACATTGTCACTATATGAGGCCACCAGTGTAAAGTCCTCAACATCACCAACGATATGAGGGCACCAGTACAAAGTCCTTACTGGCGTCACATATACTCATATGAGACTGTTGGATCATCCACCAGCAGTATCCATGATGTTATGAAGTTTGTCTTATGCTTCAATATGCTTACTTATGCATTACCTTCCCTAGCTAGTATCCTGTCATTATTTTCATCATGGTCAGGATAGGCTGTATTTGCACCATTTGTATTATCTCTTTTGAAGAGACTTGTGTAGGAATTCTTCGTTGTGAACAGCTGTCTGTGAATGATAATGAGTTGAAAGAAGAATGGTTCATCAATGAGAGGGTGAAGACTGTCCCTTTAAGTGTCAGGACTGGATGGTAACAGCGATTACTATCATCATCACCATCAACAAGATCCGTGCTGTCATCCGGTGGGAGAACTGACATTTCCTACAGGGAAGTTGCGTTAATGGCTCAAGTAAATGATCTACCTTCAATGATTGGTTCAGGTTTGATCAAGACCATCCGTTCATCTGTGGATATACATACTACCTTCTGCAACCTTGCATGACTGGACCAGAGAACTTACTGAGACTCTCAAGTTCAGGTCAGGTGGTAATGTCTATATCTGACAGCAGTCACAAACTTGTAGTTGGGGTATAGTGAACTATATGGGAAAGATTAGGAATAGGCACATGGAACAATGATGATGAAGTAACGGTTATTGCAAGATTCCAGCTATAAACTGGAAACTTTATTCTGTAATAATTCTTGATTACCTTTGATTTTAGTTCTTGAAGTATTTTGTAAGTTAGTCTATGATGATTAAAGTTTAAGTACTCTGTCTAAGGTAAGTCTTGTAGTTGCCTTGAGATCTTGAGAAAGCAAAGTATCTGTTCTTTCTGTGTGCTGCACAATAGCTGATTAGAAAGCATACACGGGAGTTAAAGTCAGGATAAGTAACCTGGTGTACAGTCTTAGGTCGCCCTTACAGTAAAGGTGTTTCTGGCTATTGAGAACTTACAGGGATACCCTTTATATCAATAACCAAGCCAACAGAAACCTCTGTACCATCTGTATATAATACTGAAAAACGAGCCCACCACATAACACCTCTTATCTCTGTTACACCATTACCTGGTGACAGGACAGAGGAGGAGAAGACCGAAAAACATCCTGATACACTAATAACAACAACACCACCTACCACCTGGAAACTGGACAAGCCGCATAAAGCCATAAAAAAAAACGATCCGGCACGCTGTCACGCTCTGTGATTTTGTTGCACGATAATTGTCCGCGTGTTGCAAAGACTGTGCAGGAAGTGATATTATGGAAGTAGTAAAACATTCTGCAACTTCCAACCTATTGTCCTGATTTGCAATCATGTGATTTTTTTTTTCTCGGGCCTCTAAAATCAAAATTTCAGTGGGCAACGATTTTACACATAAGCAGACGTAATAAACGCGGTGAACAGCTTGGTTCATGAGCAACCAAAATCCATGTTTATAGATGAAGTTCGACGCCTACCTAAGCAATTGGATGTTTGCACGAATGCCTATAGTATTTTTTTTTCCTGACCCACCCATGGTGCATAATTCATTTTGTTTAATTCTGTCAGCACTGTTGATTTATTTCCATTTTATGAGCTCTCAACGCCTTGAAGGAGTCGCCGTGGCGATGGTGGCTAGACGTCCGCTTGCGGATCGAAAGGTCGTGGGTTCGTGTCCTGACGTTGCCAGACTTTTTTTTTTTCAGAAATGACCTTGACTCTCAGGTCGACCCAGCCTTGAGTGGGTACCAGATGCAGTCCTGGAAAGTAAAGGCGCCCGGCGTGATGCTGACCACATCACCCACCAAGTGCCGGATGGTCTTTAAAAAATATAGGTCTAGTCCTTTTTACCTAATACGCCTAACTGCATGGAAAAGGGTCCTTTACTTTACTTTTACAATTCCTTGGAGCACATAATTTCCAGGTTTTTCCTAGGTGATATTTTGTGCTGATCTTTTGGTTTTCTTTTGTGTTCGTAATGGTATATCTTCTGCTGGTCAGTTTTGCTTTATTGTTTACCTGGTTGTGCATTTAATTACCATCTCCTTTCCAACTTGCACAGTCAGTACATGTATTGAACAAGTGGAAGTAGAAAGAGTAGTTGACAATGTAGATAATGGACATTGATTCATTCATTCATTATCCTGTTGTACCATTATGTTATATTGGGCTCGCAGTATATTCCCTTTTTCCTTTTTATCCTATGCAATAGCCTGGATATAAAGGATGGAACCAAGTTCAGCATTTTTGGTTTCTCTTCTCAACATTGGCTTTAGGGAATCTCTTGAACGTCCTTATTTTCTCCATATTTTTTTTTTTCAGTGTCTGTTTCGTAAGTCTCTGCTCCTTTCTTCTCAGAATGCTTCCAGTAAAGCACCATCTTTTCTGTCTTATAACTGTTGATACCAGTGGTTGCCCAGACATTCTCTGACTTCTTCAGCCCTTTTGAATTTGTCCCATTTCATTTTAAAAATTTTCCTCAGGAATTTGTTTTCGCATAATTAACAGAGAGAGTGTCTGGGAACTCCCATAATATGAAAGAGGCAAGCAGACTTTTCTTCTATTGTTTATACCCACCTGGAACACAGTAAGGTGGACCAAAATGGAGTGACGTGGTTAATGTGAAAACAGTTTTGAAAAACGTATTTTTCTCAGCATTCGCCGGCTGTAAACTCCGTTTAACAAATCTAGCTTATTTCCATGCAGACGGTTGGTTTTTCAGACAGATGCACTTCAACTTCAAAGGAAACAATCCCTAATTATTTGCGTTGTACGACGTGCGTGTTAAGGGGAAAGTGGATCATTTTGTTCCCCCAAAATGGGGTCCTGGAATGAACACAGGGGGGTTGGGGGGCATGGAAATAGTTATCCATTTATCTTTAAAAGTAAGCTGAAGCTCAGAAAGTATCCTACAAAAACTGTATGTCCTTTAAGAGTCACTTGTGTTGTCAATGAGTTTATATATTCAGCTGTGTATTATTTACCAGCTATGACAAAATTCACATAAAATTAACTTCTGTTATTTTTTTCAGAATGTCACAATGAAGTTACCCCCAGGCGGTGATATCGACCTGCTTATGATTGGTAAGACAGGACATGGCAAAAGCTCTACAGGAAACTCAATCTTGGGACAGGACCTGTTTAATTGTTCAGAAAGCGGAGAGTCTGAAACCAGTAAAAATGGAGTGGGATGGGCTGAAATTGATGGCCGCACCATCAAAGTTGTAGACACTCCTGGCGTGTGTGACACTAGAAATGATGCAGCTTCTGTTGACCTTGCCATAGAGTATATCAGTACAGCAATAGCCTATTGTCCAGAGGGATTTCATGCTTTGCTTCTTTTAATACGCTTTCCAACCCGCATGACAGAAGAGGAAAAAACAACAATTGAACTCTTGAAACGGGTGCTGGGAGAAAATATTCTCAAGTCCCATTGTATTGTTGTTTTCACTTATGGGGATGTATTTTATAGGAAAATGGCAGCAAAGGAAACCACTTTTGATGAATGGTGCAAACGTCAGGTCGGGTTTTAAAAAAACTTTTTGAGGAATGTAACTACAGGTGTGTGCTCTTCGATAATTCAACCACAGACTCCAAGATGAAGAAGGCTCAGCTGATTAAACTTGTATCAGAAGTGGATAGCCTAAAAGACAGTGGCACCCGCTATACTAATTCATACTTTGAGATTGCAAAGAGAGAACACCAGAGAATTATCTCTGAAGCAAACGTGCCCCAGGCAAATGAAGATTTTATGAGGTACACTCTGCTTATCATTGAAACACTGAATGATATAAAAAAGGATACTAATGAACCTGCCAGGTACAAAGATGACTTGTCTAGGCTAGAGGAAAAAGTAAACAATCTGCAAAACATAATCACGGCAACAGAAAATTGGCCGCTCAGTTTACTTGCTGAAGCTATTTTTGCATTATATGTAACATTACATGCAGATATGGCTGATAATTCGCCCAGACCAGACAGCCCAGCTGAGTCAGTAGGTAGCACACCAAATGAGATAATACCAAAGAGGGAAGATTTAGTGGCACACGGGCATGAAATCCAGAGGTATTATAATGAGGAAATGATACCTACACATAATGCTGTCGTAAAAAATGTTGCTGAAGAAGTGAAGAAGCAAGTGAAAAAGGACAAGTGCTTCCCTGGGAGTTCAGTTGTCTTGTTGTCAAATGGAAAATCTGTCACTCTGGAAGAGCTGTGTGTTGGGGATCAAGTCCTGGTCAGAGATAAAACTGGTGGTCTGAGTTTTGACACTGTCTACATGTTTGGACATCAGGAATCAGATGCCTCCAGTGAATTTCTGGCTCTGAAGACAGCCTCACAGACAGTGTATGTCACAAGTGGACATTATGTCTACTGTGTCAAAGATGGTGCAGAAATTTGTGTGTCTGCTGAGAATGTCCATGTTGGAGATCATCTGCTAGTGGTTACAGGAGATGGTTTGGTGCCTCAGTCAGTGCAGGCCGTCACGTTTGAGAGAAAGCGAGGTCTGTTTGCTCCCTTCACCAACAGTGGAAATATTGTCATTGATGGAGCACTAATGTCATGTTACATTGATGTTTTGTCGGCTACAATGTGCCATACTTTGTTGTGGCCGGTCCGACAGTTGTACCATATGTCCCCACGTTTGCTATCCGTCATAAATGGGCCACCCTCAGAGCACCCTGTCCCTCGCTGGGCTAAATTTTCATTGAAGTTGTTGTGAGAAATCCAGATCAGAAGATAATGGTATACCAGATCACTATAAATATTCCTAAGATGTATTACACAGTTAATCTACATTCCAAGCCTTCACATTGATAGCTATTATTCAGTTTCGTCCTTTTTAGGATGAAATTTTTTGTTATTTGAAGCCCCACCCTGGCTTTTGCCAGGGGCCGCAATATAGGCAGGCCATAAATATGGCCAAATGTCTGAACGCGGTTTCTGGGACCTCTCCACGGCGATCCTCATCCATATGGTGGCACTTTGTGTCATCGGGTGTTTATCGCTTGTGTGATGTCCTGGTGGGGTAGAAAGTCAGTCAGTCATCACACAGTATGATAACCATATCCTTACAACTATTGAAAAAGTACACTAGTAGTAAATGTAACAATCTATATTCCTACAATCTATTACAATAAATACGTAATCTCTGAAATATTAACTGAGCAAAAGTAATTGACAAGCAGAAATATCCAGTATTGAAATAGAAAAGGTTTATATTCCAATTAAAACCTAGTTGGGTTACAAATGATGTCGTTGTTCATACGACTTCTGCGATATTGTCTTAAAAGATTTGTGCCTGTCCTTTCAAGAGTATAAATTCTATTGTGATGCAAATGGTTTCATTTACTAAACTGTAGACAAATTGGGAAGTGCACGCCGGGCCTTTATGTCTCATTGTAACTAATATATCTACATTGTGTCATATATTGTAACTGATATACCTACATTGTGTCATATATTGTAACTGATATACCTACATTGTGCCATATATTGTAACTGATATACCTACATTGTGCCATATATTGTAACTGATATATCTACATTGTGTCATATATTGTAACTGATATACCTTCATTGTGTCATATATTGTAACTGATATATCTACATTGTGCCATATATTGTAACTGATATATCTACATTGTGTCATAGATTGTAACTGATATACCTACATTGTGTCATATATTGTAGCTGATATATCTACATTGTGTCATATATTGTAGCTGATATACATACATTGTGTTATATATTGTAACTGATATACATACTATGTGTCATATATTGTAACTGATATATCTACATTGTGTCATATATTGTAGCTGATATACATACATTGTGTTATATATTGTAACTGATATACATACTATGTGTCATATATTGTAACTGATATATCTACATTGTGTCATAGATTGTAACTGATATACCTACATTGTGTCATATATTGTAGCTGATATATCTACATTGTGTCATATATTGTAGCTGATATACATACATTGTGTTATATATTGTAACTGATATACATACTATGTGTCATATATTGTAACTGATATATCTACATTGTGTCATATATTGTAGCTGATATACATACATTGTGTTATATATTGTAACTGATATACATACTATGTGTCATATATTGTAACTGATATATCTACATTATGTCATATATTGTAACTGATATACTTACATTGTGTCATATATTGCCACTGATATACCTACATTGTGTCATAGATTGTAACTGATATACCTACATTGTGTCATATATTGTAACTGATATACATACATTGCGTCATATATTGCAACTGATTTACACACTATGTGTCATATATTGTAACTGATATATCTACATTATGTCATATATTGTAACTGATATATCTACATTATGTCATATATTGTAACTGATATACTTACATTGTGTCATATATTGCCACTGATATACCTACATTGTGTCATATATTATAACTGATATACCTACATTGTGTCATATATTGTAACTGATATACATACATTGCGTCATATATTGTAACTGATTTACACACTATGTGTCATATATTGTAACTGATATATCTACATTATGTCATATATTGTAACTGATATATCTACATTATGTCATATATTGTAACTGATATACCTACATTGTGTCATATATTGTAACTGATATACATACATTGCGTCATATATTGTAACTGATTTACACACTATGTGTCATATATTGTAACTGATATACTTACATTGTGTCATATATTGCCACTGATATACCTACATTGTGTCATATATTATAACTGATATACCTACATTGTGTCATATATTGTAACTGATATACATACATTGCGTCATATATTGTAACTGATTTACACACTATGTGTCATATATTGTAACTGATATATCTACATTATGTCATATATTGTAACTGATATATCTACATTATGTCATATATTGTAACTGATATATCTACATTGTGTCATATATTGTAACTGATATACATACATTGTGTCATATATTGTAACTGATATACATACATTGCGTCATATATTGTAACTGATATACATACATTGCGTCATATATTGTAACTGATATACATACATTGTGTCATATATTGTAACTGATATACATACATTGTGTCATATATTGTAACTGATATACCTACATTGTGTCATATATTGTAACTGATATACCTACATTGTGTCATATTCTTTTTCTTCTTCTTCTTCTTCTTCTTCTTCTTCTTCTTCTTCTTCTTCTTCTTCTTCTTCTTCTTCTTCTTCTTCTTCTTCTTCTTCTTCTTCTTCTTCTTCTTCTTCTTCTTCTTCTTCTTCTTCTTCTTCTTCTGCCTTTCTATCCCCCAATGGAGCATAGGCCCTCAACCAACTCATGCGAAGTCGTTCTATCCTTCGCCATTGTATGGAGCTCTCCCTATATCCTCCCCATCTTTCTAACTTCATTCTTCAGCTCTCTTCTCCATGTGTGTGTTTTTTTTTTTTTTGCCTTCCTTTATTCCTATGCCCCTGTGGGTTCCAATGCAGTGACATTCCGGTTATGCTGTTCTCCTGTTTTCTCAGTGTGTGACTAATCCAGCGCCAGGGTCTTTTCCTCACCTCTTGTTCCACTGGAGCCTGTTTAATCCTTTCTCCCAACATTGTGTCATATATTGTAACTGATATACCTACATTGTGTCATATATTGTAACTGATATACCAACACTTCGCCATATATTGTAACTAATATACCTACATTGTGCCATACATTGTAACTAATATACCTACAATGCGCATACATTGTAACAGATATACATACATTGTGCCATATAATGTAACTGATACACATACATTGTGTCATTTATTGTAACTGATATACATACATTGTGCCAGACATGGCAACTGGTACTCTTACACTGCGCCATACATTGCAACTCGTACTCGTACACTGCGCCATACATTGCAACTGGTACTCGTACACGGCGCTACACATTGCAACTGATTGACCTACTTTGGCCATACATTGTAACTGATATACATACATTGTGCCATACACTGTAACTGATATGCATACACTGCGCCGTATACTGTAACAGATAATTATCTGTCTCTCATTCTTCTATTACATTACCCTATTCCTGCCCACTCATTAACACCTTTTTTCAATTTTTTTTTTTTACGACTTGATAATTATTACTATGTAGTATACATTCTTTGGGTTAGAAAGATCTCAAGCATCAATTTCTTAGATTCAGACTCATGGCCTTGAGGTTTGCATCTTGCCACTGCACTACAACGGCACCTACAACTGTGTTACACGAAGGTAAATACTGTAGAGTGCAGGATATGGAAAAAGGGTTGAGTTGTAAAATAATAATTCATTTTTTTTAATGTAACATTTCTACACCATATTATAATTATTATTCTCATAATCATAATAAAAATATGTCCATTAGATTCTATTATCTTGGTAAATGTTCAATCTATCACTACATTACTTTTTAAAACCATTTCTTTCTTTTTTTTTAATCAACACTTGAACTTTTGTTAAGGCACTT